TAGAAGAGATAAAGAGAGAAGAAGAAGATCCAAAAATGAAAAAGAAAGGGGGTAAGGCTTGGTCTTCCAACTCATTCCTAATGTTATGTTCGATAGGAATGAGAGAAGAAGGGTGGAAGGAAAATAGAAAGGAAAGAACAAATTTCCTTCATCCGGTAGAGAAAATATAAGGAAAAAAAATGATAATAGGAAGGATGAGTCATCTTTCCTCCTTCACAAATTTTCATCCGCCCAAATATTGTTGAAGTTGAAAAGTAAGTGATGGGTTTAATGGTAAAAATAACTTAAAAACTTATCTTTCGTTTTATCATACAGATTAAATTAAATTTTTAGTTTTTTCCATTCTCTTCCATCCAATGGAACAAAAAGGGGAAACACTTAATCTCTTCCCTAGGGATGTCTCATTCATTCCTTCTTCTCTCCATTCTATTCAATTTTTTTCCTTCCTACCGAACAAAGCATAAGGCCAAAAATATGCCAAGTGTCACCAATTTATGGGCTACTAATTTATGCCCAAGTTACCATTTTACCCTCACTCATCCATTGCAATGTCATCCACATCCCATAAAATATCTACATCAATGTATACTTATATATATATGTATATGTGTGTGAAATGTCTACAATACCCCTCACTTAAAATGAGAAAATCGGGAGAAGTTCCAAAGCCCGGAAATCATCCCGACTTCGAAAAATTCTAAAAGTGATATCATCACTTTTAATTGACTTAAAATGATTGAAAATGCACTTCTAATTCCCCTGGCTCAAAAAAATGACCGAAATGGCCCTCGGCGCCCGCGTGACACGCAAAACAAGGTACGAAAAATAAATAATAAAAAACCCAGAAATATCCAAGATATTACACTTCATCCAAGCCCTAAGAGAAGAACTAGTTAGTTATGAATAAGGATAAGATGACCATTGACGCCCCAGCTGCCATCTCCAATCATAACCAAAGATCTTCGATGGTAGAAGAGAGGAAGTCTAGAAAGAGAAAGTCTCCAATCCTTGCCCCAAATCCAACAAAATCACTCACACTCTCTGCCTCACATTATGAGTTCTAAGATAAAGATGGTTTTTTTTTTCCTAGTTGGGATTATTTACATCAAGGAGGAATCGATCCTGAGACTTGATGTATCATGAGGTACCAAGACCCAAGTTTTTTCTAACTAGGCAAACCCCTTAGAAAAATGCTTGTTTACTCCTTGGAAAAAGTCTTTTCTAACTAGTCTAGCCCCTTTGATGTCATGAATCTGCAATACATTTCTAGGATGGTTGATTGGTTTATAGCTAAACTCAAGGCAACTCTATGAAGTACAAACTGGAAAGATACTTGTTTACAACAACATTATGGTTCATTTGGGGAAAAAGAAATAAGAGGGCTCATGATGGTGTTAAACACACTCCTCAACAACTAACAACTGAAACATGCAAGGAAGGTTTAGATGCATCAAGAATCTCTCTCTAATCAAAATCATATGTATTAATGTTGTTTAAAGGTTTATATTGTTTAGTTCTCTTGTCTTCTACTGATATGGGGTATACCGTATACCTCATTTTAGTTTTTATTTATTTATTTTTTTGTAATGCTTGTCCTAGTGATCCTACTGGTCACTTTCCTATGTATTATATTGTTTACCTTATATGAATAAAATTAAGGGTAAATTACACGGACTTCCCTAAAAATGAAACTAACCTACACAGACCTCCCTTTTGTTAAAGTCAACATCATTTAATGATGGATTGTGCTGATGTCATGTATTAAATTGAGTAAAATACCTATTTTGCCCTTCATATATCTCCTCTTTACTCACTTTCTCTCTTTACTCACCTATTTTTTATGGACACGCTTGGTTATTTACTCGCCGGTGCCGGAATCTATGGAAGCTAATGGGTCAAGTTAGTTTTGTTTCTTAGAACTTCACTAGAAACAATGGAAGCTTATGTTCAAAGCTTTATCGATGGTGGGTATTGACACCATTAAGTTTCAACATTGGTTAGCTTCACCGAAATGGGTCTCTCCTTACTGGACCTACTATTCGACATTTGAATCAATTAATCATGGAGTTGGTCTTCGGTTTTCTCGGACGCACTTGGTTCTTTGCTCACCGGTGCCGGAATCTATGGAAGCTAATGGGTCAATGTAGTTTTGTTGTTTGGAGCTTTCATAGGAAACAATAGAAGCTTTTGTTCGAAGCTTTATCGATAATGGGTCTTGACACCATTGAGTTTCAACGTTGGGTAGCTTCATCGAAATAGGTTTCTCCTCGTCGGACCTGTTCTTCGACAATTGAATCAATTAATCATGGAGTTGGTCTTCAATTTTCATATATGCACTTGGTTATTTGCTCGCCGGTGCTGAAATCTATGGAAGCTAATAGGTCAAGGTGGTTTTGTTGCTTGGAGCTTCACTAAAAACAATGGAAACTTCAGTTCAAAGCTTTGCCGATAATGGGTCTTGACACCATTGAGTTTCAACGTTGGGTAGCTTCACCAAAATAGGTCTCTCCTCAACGGATTGTTCTTCGACAATTGGGTCAATTAATCATAGAACTGGTCTTTGATTTTCATGGACGTACTTTGTTCTTTGCTCACCGGTGTCGAAATCTATGGAAGCTAATGGGTCAAGGTGGTTTTGTTGCTTGGAGCTTCCTAGGTTAGTAATTTACTATAGCAACTTGAGGGCATTTTAATAAATTAAACAAGTATGTTAGTCCATTTAACGGTCCATCACTAAGAAGGGAGGTCTGCGTAGGTTAGTTTCACTTTTATTGGATATCCGAGTAAATTTTTAAATCATAGGGGAGATCCCTGTAATTATAACAAACCACATGGGAGGTCCATGTAATTTACCCAAAAATTAAATACATTAAGGGAAAAAAATAATGCATATTCATTAAATAGTAATACAAATAATATAATATGTCCGACTCACGCAATAAAAAATGTTGACTAGTGGGCTTAAGCCTTCACAAGCCCAGATGTTTTGGATATTGGGCTACCTTTTAGAAACTGCGAGGATCCCCCTCTTTATATTCGTTTTTATTTTTTGAATAAAAAAGTGGTTTAGGTCACAAATCAACCTCCTGTCCCATTATCCTTCCTAAAATCAAATGCTAATATCATTCAAAGAAATTAAATTAGATTAGTGATATTAAACTGGCATATTCTTTTGTTATAGGACTCATTTTGAAAAAAATAATGTTGTAAGAGGACCTCTTAGGACATTTTGTGTGTAAATTTGAATCGACAATATTTATATAAAGTGGAGAGAAAAGTAAGTGATGTACAATTGAAGAAGAGTGTCATATAAGCATATCTCGCTTCTCATTTTCTTTCATAATATCTACGAATAGTCAATGATGTGGAGAATTCCTATAAACTTTGCCGCCTTTTATTTTTGTAGGTCTCGCATCCTTTTTCTCTCTTACCTTTTCTTGCGTTTTTATAATAAAATAATAAAATGAATGGATAATTTAAATTTAATAAAAATAAATAAATAAATAATTTTGCAAGTACGCACATGCCCTTTTAATAAAGAGCCGTAAGCCATTATGATTATCCACGTATTTGAAATATTTAAAGAAAACTAGAAAAGAAGGAGAAGCTCATTCACAAGATACTGGAAAAAAAAAATAGATTTATTTTTTATAAATATATAATTTATGAATTCTTCCATAGTCAATGATGTGGAGAATTCCTATAAACTTTGCCGCCTTTTATTTTTGTAGGTCTCGCATCCTTTTTCTCTCTTACCTTTTCTTGCGTTTTTATAATAAAATAATAAAATGAATGGATAATTTAAATTTAATAAAAATAAATAAATAAATAATTTTGCAAGTACGCACATGCCCTTTTAATAAAGAGCCGTAAGCCATTATGATTATTCACGTATTTGAAATATTTAAAGAAAACTAGAAAAGAAGGAGAAGCTCATTCACAAGATACTGGAAAAAAAAAAATAGATTTATTTTTTATAAATATATAATTTATGAATTTTTCCAAATGATAAAAGCGCCCCAAAGAGCATCAACAGCGGATTCTAGAAAGCCTTTTTTTCGCGTGCCAAATTGCCCAACTGCCCCCTAACGGTTAGGAGCTAATTGGGTGGGCCCAAAAGAGCTCGCGGAATACTGCGAGGCCAAACCCGATCAAGAGTTTTTTTATTATTATTATTTTCTTGCCAAAACTACGTCGTTCTGGGTGAAGCATTTTTTCCATTTTTTTTTAAGGCTACAAAGGTTAGGTTGTATGATTTTTTTAGAAAAAACCCAAAAATAGGTTATTTTGAGCTCATTTTTTTTTTTTTTTAAAAAAATAAATAAAAAAAATTCATTAAATAAAAAATATATTGTTTAGGCACTGTTTGTTCAAAAAAAAAAAAAAAAAATTGATTTGGGCCAAAAATAAATTAAAAGACCTTTTTTTAAAAAAATTCTTTTACTTTAAATTTTAAATTTCCGCTACAAACATTGCATTTGGCCGTTAAGGCACTATTTGGTGGCTATAATTTTCAAAAAATAAAAAAAATAAACTTTTTTTTTAAAAAAAAAAAAATTTAAAATTCATTTCTCTTCTATAAATATTTCAACTCCTACCACAATTCATCACATCTACATATTTTTATTATTTACCATTCAAGCTATTTTATCTTCTATTTTCTCAATATTAGTTATTATTTTTAAACTCAATCCGATTCCATGGATTCTCAATCAAGTAACTTCCGACCTTCCAAATAACAACCGATTATTCGAAATCCAAATTATAATCTCGATCCTACCTTTTAAATAATTTGCAAAGATATTATTTGCCAATTGGAAGAAATTTTACATAATTGAGAGATAGAATGTAGGGATGATTTTTAAATGAGAAAATGAATGTTCATTATATAAGTTGAAAAATATACGCAAAGGAAAATTCGGAGAATCAACGGGTGCGTGACCGAGCAGCATTACGTCCTTACTTTTGAAAGGAAAATCAAGATTTTAAGCCTCCTAAACATGTGTACCTGAGTATCAACTATGAAAAAAAAAAAAAAAAAAAAAAAAAAAATAATGGAGAGCAGAGCAAAATCTGCTTATGTTATCAAAATTGGCAAGTGGGGATGCTCTAATAACTTTGATCATGCATGGAATTTTCATCACCATGGAATAATTTCTCTGTTTGGTTCCTGTGAAGTGTCAGTTGCCATTCCTCAATACTCTCTCTATTCTTTTTCTGTGAAAGACTAATAAAATTTCATTTCTCTCTCTCCTTCTCAACAATAAAACCAATTAACTCTGATACGCATCTCTGTGTCTCCAATTTTCCTTTCCATCGCAAACCCTAGACCCAATTGTGTCAGAGTCCATTTTCAACCGTATAGAGACTCCTACTTTCTCACTCTAGTCTCCTAATCATTCTCGACACTGTAAGCATCCCCATTCTCCAAGCTCTCCCATTTGTTTATATGTGTTTGTGTGTATATGGGTATGTATAGGCTCTGCATTTAGCTGATGGGTACTTATGGTTGATTTTTGTTTCTGATGACTGCCGCATAAGTTTTTTCATATGGTAGTTGTTATTGCTTTTGTTATCATGATTTGTTCTCTGTTTTATCAAACAATAGCATGAAATTATTGAAATGCAAGTGTGTTATGTGGGTCTGTCATTTATATTGATTTTCCTGATGTTTTTGCCTTTCGATTAACTTGTAGATGTGTTCTTCTACTTCAATTGTTTTTTTTTTTTTTTTTTTTTTTTTTTTTTTTTTTTTTTTTTTTTTTGCTTATTGAACAGCCTCAGTGGTTCAATTAGGAAATAAGCTTAGGAATGAAATATCCATAATGTCTCCAATATATTCGTCTATAATACCATATTTTCAGGACGAAGCCTTTTTTTTTATTATTTTTTAATTTTTATGGCAAGAATTTTAGAGGTTAGGGGGGAGGGGGAGGGTGCAGGGCTCAAGGGTTCCCAGACATGGCACATGGGAGCAACCAACCACTCCGGCAATACCGCACTAGCCATATTTTTCTAGGCAATTAAAAAAAAATTTATTTATTGAAAAAAAAAAAAAAAAAGAAAAACCTAAAATTCCCTTAAGGGTATTCTGGGATTTTTATAAAAAATTGATCAAAATTGCAGACCAGGGGATTATTTGCACGTTACCCTTCTTCTTTTTTTATCAATTCCCCTATTCAAGCATGATTTCTTACTTCTGGAATTCTGATATATCCATTTTATCAATGTTTTATATCTAAGAAATAACAGCTGCAGGTAAAAGAAAATGTACCTTTAAGATATCTTTAATAATCTTTCTTCTTTTTTTTTTCCTTAAAAAATTTCTTTCAAGTCGCATACAAACATGACTGAAAAGTGAAAATGTGACAATTTTTACCTTACGGGCATCAAATTTTAGGTTTTTTGGTACAAAATGTGCATATTATCTTATTTGCGAGTGGACATGTTATGCATGCACGAAAAGTTGTGCTTATACTATTTCCTGGGAAAAGAAACATTGTTCATTTCTAAATAAAGATATAATATGTTTTCAGCTTGATAGAAAACTACTGTACCTTATATTCTGTGTAGTTCTTCTCTTTTTAACTTTCTGTTTCTAGTTTTCATCCTTTTGGATCTGTACGTAAACTTTCATACCTTTATTTTCTTTCTATTCACCTTTTAATTATTGCTATGTAAGGAGTGATTTAGAAAATTACTGGCAGTATCAACTTCATACCAGGATCTTAAGTTTTCAACGACTTAATACAACAAATGAATAATTTTTAAACTAAATGAATAATTTCTTATATTTTGTACAAGTGCACACCAATGGAGAACATTATTCTTCTGGGTAAATACAACAAATGGAGAACTTGCTAACTGGAGATTTCAGGAATAGGGCTGAAACGGAAATAGCTGAAATGAGGAGGAAGAATGTTATGTCAGTGGACCTTGCAATCCAAAGAGAGTTGGCATATTGGAAGAAACTAAAAAGTTTGCAATTGCTTGCAGATGTTGTCCCTATGCCTTTGCATGTGAGAATTTATCCTCTCTTGTAATTGCCTCTTGACTCTTGTCTTTGTGACTTTAATAATGGCTATATCTATGATGGTGGATTTGTATTGTCCAATTCTTTATAAATGTCAATGAAGCCATTCTATCTATATGGCATGTCCTTACAAGCCTTGATTAATTTACTTCTGATAAAGTGAAAATTGAGCCTTTTGTTACGTGGAAACTTAAAAGGGGAGGAGGTGAGTTGGTGATGTTTCTAAAGATGGAGACAGGATAGTGTTGTTCAAGTAATTTGAATGTTGTCCACTGATATTTTTGAAATCCTTGGGAGAGGTTTCTATAAACCGCTCCTAATGTAAGTGTTGCACTCAATGCTGGTCTTCTGCTACAATAATATGGTTTAGTGATTAAATGTACTATGTCTATATGCATAAAGATGGTGTGGAGGATTGTATCATATGTTTTATATTTGAGATCATAATAGAATAGGATTTATGTATCCAACCCCAAGTAATTGGAACTAGAGCTTGTGGAGTTGAATTGAGTTTGTGTTAGCTTCGTTTAGCATCTCAAGCAAAATTGCATTTGAATAGTTGAGTTGCAGTTCTGAAAAAGGGGTGTTGATGCTCTGAAATGTGAAGACAGAAAAATGGAAAAATCTGCTGATTCTTCGCAGCAAGCACAGAAGTCCAACGAACTGTTGCTGTTCCAATAAAATGGATGGGATGTGAGCTATTTGTTTGATACCATCTTGGAATGCATGAACCATACCTTGTTCATAAACAAAATGAAAGCCATGCAATTTTAGGCGAACGCATAAAGAGTCAGACGCAACCTTTGGGTTCCAAAATCTGGAACCCATCTTTTAAACATTCTAAAATTTGCATGATTGGCTGTGGCTTGACAATGTCTTTTCTTTTTTCTTCTATGTCTTAGAATATTATCCAGTATGTTTCACCAATTGGTTAACCGGTATCAGTTTCATGTTGTTAACTTGCATGTTCCTCGTATCAGGTGCCATCTTCAATTCCAAGTCCAAGTCCATTGCGGGGAAGAAATTGGGATTCAAACTCAAGTTTGAATCTGGTTCCAAGTTCATCTAGTCCAAGGCTGTCATCAACTCCAAGTCGGAATACAAGTTCAAGACCAGGGCCAAGTTCAATTTCAAGTGCAAGTCTGGTTCAGGGTCCATTATATCAGGTGTCATCTTCAAGTTCCCGTCCAAGTCCATGGCTGGCACAAAAACATATTTTAAGCTCAAGTTTGAGTCTGGTTTCAAGTCCATCTAATCTGGCTCCATCTTCAACTTTAAATCCGAGGCCAGCGCTAGTTCCAAGTCGGATTCTTAGTTCTAGACCAGGGCGGAGTCCAAATCTGGTTCAGAGTTCATTCAATCAGGTGTCGTCTTCAAATTCTAGTCCATCTTCAAATTTAAATCCGAGGCTACCACTGGTTCCAAGTCGGATTCCAAGTCCAAGACTGGGGCAACGTTCAAATCCTAGTCCAACTCCAAGACCATTGCCAAAACCAGGTTACATTCGAGGTCCAAGTTCATGGATGAGGCCAAGGCCAAGTCTGTCAAGCACAAAGAGAAAAGCATCAACTTGCAACCTCCAACGGCTCCCACCTCAACAGCCGAGACCATCTCACAGTAATCACATTAAAACAGATCAAGAGGGGCTATTCATTTGCGATTCCTGCAAAGTGCCATGCTCAGGTGCCTTGAATTTCAAGCAGCACCAAAAAGGTCAAAAGCACAAGGCTAAACTGCAACAGTTGCAGCTGAGCAGGGAAGAGGACAAGGAGGAAAAAGATCTTCGACCATGGTGTGAACTATGTCAAATTTGGTGCATAGATGAGGATTCGTTGCAGATGCACCTAAAAGGTCAAAACACCAGGCTAAACTACGACAGTTGCAAACTATGTCAAATTTGGTGCATAGATGAGGATTCATTGCAGATGCACCTAAAAGGTCAAAAACACCAGGCTAAACTACAACAGTTGGAAATTGGTAAGAAAAATGGTGGAGATCATCCATGGTGCGAACTATGTCAAATATGGTGCATGAATGAAGATGCATTTGAGCAACATCTCAAGGGCAAAAATCATGTCACTCGGCTTTATGCTACTGGGAATTAGAACAAGAGTGCTAAAACTGGAATTGGAGATGATCCAGTGAACTGAAAGAAAGCTGCTTATGTATCATTTCTTTTGCCTAAGTTCCACACACGCATGCGCACGTACACAATGAAAAGCTGCAGATTTCCTAGGACATTTTATATACTCTCATATTTATATACAGCTTATTTCACTATTTTACGTATTTTACAGATAGTGAGTATGACAAAATTTGCCCTTGTGTTAATTCTCTTGAAGTTTTATGGAACTATTTTTTCTTTTCTTCAACTTTTGTCTTTGCACAAAAACTGCTGTGGAAGGTGGATGGTTTAGATTCCAATGATGATTTCTAATACTAAAATTATGTTTCCTCCAACTGCAGTGTTGAACTGCACACAGGAATTGTCATAAATAATTAGTATTAGAATGAAAGGACTTGACACTTTGTTGGAAGAGCTATCTTTTCTATGAGCTGACTTTACCGCACGAGTCTAACTGCTAAAACTATCCGCTGTATGCATCATCTTGTTATTTGCTGATCCAGTGAGACGTGGCAGTTTTGATTCCACTAGTTATCAGATTTTCTTTCTGCAGCAATTGTTCTGGCAGCTGCAACTTGGTTTTATTGATAATAAAACCTTCCTTACAAATTCTGGTATCACATTAGCTTTAATGAATTGTTTCCAAGACATCAGGTGTACTATATGAGATTGAAAAAACTCATCTGTTCTGGATTTGGATTTATATTTCATGTAGTCTAACCTCATCATGTATTTCTAATCATTTGAAAAGAAGTTTCTCATGGGTTTTATTCATGCTTTTCCAAGTTTTGAGTTACCTCTCTACTAGGAAGACAGTGCTAATAAATATGGATGAGGCACCAGTTCTTGCATTTTGTGCATCTGTTAGCTACATGAATTCGGCCAATGAGTGGATGTTGCATCTTAATCATTGGATAACATGGGTCTTGGGACGGATACACCATCCATGGCTGAGATGTGTCAGTCGCCTCGCTGACACCATCACTAGCACTAGTGACTAGTCCAATTACATACAAATGTCCAATCCCGAATAAACTAATTATAAGTGACCCTTGTGAGGTTTTCAAAGAAAGATATTTGATCTATGCTAACCTGTGAACAATATGAGATAGGTCACTTGCCGGTGCCAGAAGACCAACAACCCGTTGACCAGCGGCTGCCTTCAAGAAACCTGTAAGGATGCTCTTCCCTTTTTTACATTTTTTTAAATATATTTTATATTTTATTTTATTTTTATGTAAGGAGTGGTTTATGTCACAAATCAACATTCTGTCTTTCTATCCTTCCTAAAATAAAATCTAATCAAATGTTCATGTCATTCAAAGACATTAAATTAGATTAGTGGTATTAGACTGGCACATTCTCTGGCCATTTTTCATCAGAGGACTCATTTTGAAAAAGGTGTTTTTTTTTTTTTTTTTTTTTTGGTTGGAAAGTGGGTGAAACTGTTTCCTGTGTAGTTTAGATAAGTCATATAATAGGTACAGATAGGATTGGGATATGTGGGCTCCTAATTAGGTAGAGAAGGATATGGCATATAGGGCACTAGGGACAGCATTAGTTTGTGGCATCTTCTGCTAAAATGGTTTGAATTAATTTTGGTAAAACTTTGGAATTCAGAATAAGACTTGGATTCCTCCAAAATGACAACTTGTAACAGAAATGTAATTGAACTCAGAAAAATGTCAAGGTTGGGCTAATATAATGCTTCATTCGGATTTAGGGAGTTGTAAAGAAAGGAAAGGAAAAGAAAAGGAATGAAATGTTGTAATCATATTGTGTTCAAAAGTGAGGCAGGAGATAAATGGAAAGTAGGGGTAGGGAGGGGGGATATCAACCTCTCAGAGTGATTTTTCTTTTCTTCCAAAAGTGGGTAGTGAAGGAAAGAAGGAATAATGAATAGGTGATTATTTGTATCACCTACTTTTTAATAGGGGATTTTATGTGTGTAAAAAGAAAAATCAAACTGTTAAGTGTCCTTTCTTTTTTTATCTTGGTAAATTGGGGGAAGTGGGGATTTGAATACAGACACATCCGCTCGGAGAACTAAGCGCTCTGCCAACTAAGCCACTGGATTGATACCTTAATTTAGTAGTTGATTTAGGTTTGTAGAAACACTAATCAGTCTTCAAAACTAGTCCTAAAAACTCAGGACAGGGAGAGTGGGAGAGGGGGGGCAGAAAAACAAGTTGGCATTCCTGATGCCTAGCCGCATGCCAACATGCCAAGCACTGGCACACGTTCTTGAACTCATCTGGACCAGTTGACATTGCATCAAATGCTGACAATTGTCCTAATCAGAGCCAAAATTCCGGGATTTACAATGCTAATTATTGTCCATCTTCCATCAATCTAAGAGCAAACAGACAACCTTTTTCTGTTTTGTACCCACCCCAGTTAGCAACAACAATCAAACATTTTATCAATTATTTGGATGGAATGTATGAATAACCTCAGTCAATTCATGTGCTATCATATCTTTCCTTATTAATTCTATCATGTTAACTTTGTTCTTTCTCTTCTCCGAGTATTACTATTAATGTGGAATACGTCACTTTTCTTAACCGTTGTACTCAAAAGTCTTCTTTACAGATGTTCAATCCATTTTAACCGATTTTTTCTCCAACCGGTGCTACTCCAACCATAAAGCGTGGTTAGTCTAATAGTTGTTCGGTAGAATTATGGTAAATGTCTCCTGCATTATGAATAATTGAGCCTGAATAACGAACATTTTCAAATTTTTGTACCTCTTGATTCTCAATTCTCATTACATTCTCATTTATCTTTTTAGATTTGCTGAAGTTACACTTCATATCTCCAGTTTTATTTTGACTTATCTTAAAGCCATTTAGTTCAAAAGCTTCTTTCCAAATCTCCAATTTGGCATTAACTCACTTTCTACTCTCGTAAACTAAAATAATATCATGGACAAATAACATACACCTCCCTAAGTGCCCCACCAGTAATTTACCAAACAGTACATCTAAATTAGAAAAGAGAGAGAGTCTCTCTCTCTCTCTCTCAGACACACACACTCATTTGTCTTTAAATAGATGTGTTGTATGGGTATTGGTGTATAACACAACTAAGAGAAAAGAATATGGAGAATTCTCAAGAGTGTGCCAGAGTAGCTAAGGATGTTTCACTTCAAGAACTTAGGGATAGCCTTTCTGAGTTTGCTAGAGTGAGGGGATGGGATCAATATCACAGTCCAAGGAATCTTCTTTTGGCTCTGGTAAGTCCAAAGTATACACATGTCAACTAAAAACATCATGAAGTTTGCATATATATATATATATATATATATATATATATATATATATATATATATATATATTGTTTAAGATGTATTATACAGTATATACATACATATTTGTACTAAATTGTGCAGGTGGGAGAGGTGGGAGAGCTGTGTGTGATATTCCAGTGGAAGGGAGAAGTAGCAAGAGGGCTACCCAATTGGAGTGCTGATGATAAGGAACATCTAGAGGAGGAGCTCTCTGATGTTCTGCTTTATCTAATTCAGCTAGCTGATGTGTGTGGGCTCGATCTCGGCCAAGCTGCTATATCAAAGATTGTCAAGAATGCTCAGAAATACCCAGTTGGTAATTCAACTTCTTCTTCCACCTAAGTAAACTTGGAACCTCCTTGCATGCCCATCTCAATATGTATGCCAGTCTTGTGTGATTTTCCTTTTACTACCAAACCTGTGTGCTTAAGTATGTCTCTCAGAGTCTCAGACATATTAATAGCAAATAAGCAAAGTTTAGAAGAAAAGGATTTCACCTTTGTTATCTGCAGCTTCTCAACTTTTACTGGTTATCATTATCATAACAATGTATAGACTATCAAAGCCTCCTTGATGTAATAGGCATTTATATTGCTGTCATCAACTTTTACTGGCAAGTGTTTTGGGCTAGTCTTGCATGAGACTCCTGCCAACGCGGGGTCTAGAAAGAGTCAGATGTACGTAGCCTTACTCCTATGTGCGGAGAGGCTATTTTCGTATTCCTCTTTGTTGCCGTGTATATTCAAGCAATCATAATTTTTGTTTGCTAGGTGTTTGACAAGTGAAATGATTTTCTATTGCTGTTATCTCATTTTTTCTGTTAATTTTTTGTCCAAATGGATGTCTTCCCCAAATGCAAAGGTTATTAATTTCTGGAGTGGATTGGATTTCTTGCCATTACAGGGCCTGTTTGAGTGTGGTCCTGTGGTAGAAGGTTTTATCCATCTCTCTGAGGCATATTAATAACAAATTTAGCAAGTTTTGGAGAAAAGTTTTTTTTTAATGTCTGCCACAGGGTTTGAGCTATTGAATCTGAACTCAAGGGCTGTCATGAAATTAGAATCGGAGAAAAGTAACTCAGAAAATTAAATCAATTTTTTCTCAAATTTCACAAATTTCAATTCTAAAGCTCCAATTCCATGCGCGTAAGAAGTTATTAAGTCAGCCTGCAGTGCCCAACGTGTAAAGAATGTACTCTAATAATTTTGATCGGGAGATTGTTCAACAACATTGTTAACTGCTAATCTTGATCAAGTACTACACATCATATTTGCGCACTTTAAATTGAATAATGTTACACCTATACACCAACAGAATGCGCATAATATAGAATTTCTCATACACAGAAATGATTCTGAAATAAATTTGAAAAAAAAAAATCTTTGGAAGTTTGAAATGTCAATTTAAATTAATAAATCGAAGGTATAGCCACTATGCTATGTCGATGTAGTGGTATCAGTCGTGATATAACGAATTCGAATAAAATTAATATAAATTGATCGATACGAATCCCCTATCAGATTTGAAAAAAGATTTGCAACCATTAAACTTAAAAAGAAGGAAAGTGGATGGGTTGGTGTCCCACCTTAGGCGTGTATTGGCCTCAGCCGAAAGAACTCTGAAATGGAAGAAGAAAATTTCCGTACAAATCTGTCCACATTCCGAAAGAAGCCACAGAGATGCGGTCCCCACAAAGATCATTACCAGTTGAAAGAGCTTTAATTATTTGTTGGTGACAGCAACATGGGTATGGTGTGTGTGGGGTCATTATTTCATGAATCCAATCTAAATATGTTAAGGCCCAAAGAGATAGAATGTTAATACTCAAATTGACTCACCAACTACTTTTTCTATTACTAATATTTTGTGTACTACCAAACATTTAATTTCTATAAGCTAAAATATAAGTCTTTTCATTTAATGAGCTGATTGAAATAGGTCACCTTCCATTGATATTATGCTGATTTTCAATAGAAAAAATAAAGAAAGGCATGTGCATAATGATTTAATTGAGGTAGGGTTTAACATTAATGGAGCCATTGGTGTGAGGGTTATCATTGGAATTTTGCACTTCAATCATGCAATGATCACCAAAATCACACCATAATTTTGTGTTGTACACTTGTACTAGCATGGTTGTTCTGGGCCGAGTACCATCTTATTTAGAAATAAAATTAAATTAGAGTTTAAAAGTTTTAATTTCGGTAAACGTTTTTTGTAGCTCAACATTTAGGTTGCTTTCTATTATTTTTGGGAGTCCAATCCGATTTTGAAATTTTGCATCTCTTACCTCTAATATAACATTTTTGTCCTAAAAAAAATAAAATAAAAAAAGTCCCAATTCCACCCCCTCACAGCACATCAATTTGGTTCATATACATGACTACTAATATAATTGTTTAAGGGCTGTATGGAGTATTTAAATATAACTGGGGAGTGGAATTGAGAAAATAATTTGTGTATAGTATAAAAATTTATAAGATTCCTTCTTTCACTGTTTATAAGCTTTCTTCATATGTCCATTGTTGACTAGTCACTACAGAATTTTTTGTTATCATGACAATAAAAATGACAATGACAATGAAATTATGAGGAAAAAAAAAAATGTGATTGAAACAAAAATTAAGATCTGATAACCAAATTGAATTTATGTCAGGAGATTCATAATGAAAGTAATATTTACTTTGTAAGACAATTTCTTGGAGAGATATATTGTTTGGTAAGCTTTACAAAGAAAACTTTTAGGTTTCATTGACGATCACAACCTATTCAAGGAAAATCACATAAAAATTTTGAACAAGGAAATCAAAATATATTAATAATATTAAAATAATTTGAGAGTTCAAACAAAATTCTTATTATTATTATTATTTTTACGATATTCTAAATATCAAGCAATTCAAGAATTAATGAAATATGAAACATAGATTTGCACTTTTATACAAATATAAATATGACTTGTAATATCCTTCTCTAGTAAGTAAAATAAAACTTCTCAGTCATATTCATAATCTATAGTAAAAAGAAGATAGTGACACCATTAGTTAATTTCATCAATGTTTTTCATTTTTTTTCTTGATCTTAAAGGAGACTCAACTTCTCGGAGATAATATTAGACTAAATGTATTAATTAATACAAATTGAAGATAAACCAATAAATACTAATGAGATACTCTAATTGTAAGAGATAATAATATTAGACTAAATTGATTAATTAATACAAATTAAAGATAACTAATAAATATTAATGAGATGACATCACACGAATCTGCATGAATAAATAATCAATTTATTTTTATAATGGTTTGGTTTACTTTTCCCACTTTAATAACATTACTTTCTTTTCTTTTCTTTTTTTCTTTTTTCTTTTTTTCATGTTATCTTTTCAAATACGCAATATAATTGCTTTTCAATTTTCTAACGCCAAAGGGGACCACTACTTTATAGTACTACTTTAGCTTGAAAAAACAAAAAACAGATGTATTAACAATTCTATAAAAGAAAAATCAAGGTAGTTTAAGGGATACTTTGTGAGATTATTAGATGTGAATGTTGACTTTCTTTCTTTTAGTTAAAAAATTTTCATGACTCAGACACACATATTATATTTGCCAGGACATAATAATAAAAAAATAAAAACACACACACACATATTATATAATATATATATATATATATATATATATATATATATATATATATATATATGGAGAGAGAAGAAAGGAGGGTGGTGGAGAGAATCTAAACAGACCCATATCCTGAACTTCACCAAAAAAATTCCATAAAAAGATATAAATGAGAGAAGATAGACCCAGGTGTCGACAAATCTCTTGTCCCTTCTCTTGTAATTTTGTGCTTCTCTCTCCTCCATCTTCCTTTCTTGTAAGACTGGCCCAGCAGATCCAAATCTCCGATTTTTCTTTTCAGTTTTCTACGCTCCATGACGATCTAAGCCGTCTTTCATGGCGTTTCCACAACACCCATTTCCTTGTTTCAGCTCTCTGAGGCTCTGTGCTCTGTTTTCTGGCTCATGGGTTTTTCTAGATTCTTCTTCTTTTCTTTTGGGTACTGTGGAACATCAAGTTATGAGTTGTTCAAATGAGTGAATTTGTAGTGGGTTTTTGAAGCTAGGTTCTGGGTGTGATGTGAGGTAAATTTTCAAATCTCTCTGTATTTCCAATTTGTAAAGATATTTTCAATATTTATTTTCTTATCTGGGATGTTTTTGTATGTGTGTGTATATATAGAAATGCACTGTTGCACACACACATATCGGTGTTTTCCTTTGATGTTTTCCTTTTGTGATAGAGTTCCACAATAATGAGTTTGATGATTGGGATTTATGCATTGTGACTGGATCCTTTTTCCTTTTCTTTCATATTTTTTGTTTTTCTCTATTTCTCCTTTAAATTTTGATTAGCCATTGATCATGTCTGTGATACTTGCTGATTATTGTTGCATCTTTTTAAAATTTGCTCTCATAGACATTGAAATTCTTAAATCTGATTTAGATGTCTTATACTAATGTGAAAAGTGAGTCAAATCTGCTCAATTGTTGAAACAAAATGTTACATGTGTTATTCTTACTTGGTCGATGTTATTATTGTTCTATCACATTGTTTAGGCATCTGATTCTGATTTGACTCTAATTTTCCTAATTTCTCTTTGTTATGAGAATGTTATGGTGGCCAGATAACATTAACATATCCTTATATCAACAGTACACATTTCCTGAATTTTACCTGTAATTTCCCGTATTTCTGAAAGATTCCATGATTTTTCATCAATTTTATAGAAAGATTACGGAACAATAATGTCCCTTTTTCTTATTTTTCATTTAAGCTACCTATTGTTGTTATATTGCTGGGGTTCACTTTAGCCAAATTGCATGTAAAAGATAAATATAAGAGCACTTATTTGATTCATTTGTTCAATGTTCTTCTTCGTGTAATTGTAAACTCTTACTCTGTCACAAAGAAGTTGAGTCTAAGTAACCAATGGAAGAAGGAAAAATTATTGCCAATTTTTTCTGGAAGATGACCATGACCTTTGTGAAACATTTTGTACACAGACATTTGAAGTGGTTGTATTAATTGATTGTATAATTTTCAGTTTTAAATTGGGGTAGAGTTGCAAAGCGTTGTTATATATGCTGCCAAAATCTGTTAAAGTTCAACTTCAGCAGTGAGTTTTGAAAATATTTTGTTTGTCCAACCTATCAAAAGAATGTTGATTGTATGATCATTGTGAAGTCCTTTTCTAAGTTGAGTCGTAGCAGCAACCTATTGTTACTAGTTGATTCTTCTTGTTCTACAGCTTACATTGGCAACTCCATAATGTCAGAGTCTGAAGATATTATTCCAACCTCTGTGTTTACAAGTTCAAATTCTACATTGGACTCAACATAATATTTTCCTAGATTAATTTGGTCAGTTACTAATCAGCTTAAAATTGATCATGACAATTTAACCATATAATTGAAACTGGCCCATCTGGATATTTTTTAGTTCTGTGACAGGCTACACATGAATGTGTGGTGATGAATTATTTTTCCATCTAATATTTCCCTCCAATCACCCTGCATAGGTGGGACATATGTGTGCTCAAAGCAACTAACCCGTTATTGTTTTAGTTGTGTATTATTCTCTAAATAGAATTTATAGTGCACGGTTTATATTGTTACTCAAACCTCTGGTCCTTCTCTTTTTAGGTCAATGTCGGGAATTGTAATGGATACACAGTGTACAAGCTTCCTCCCTGGATGTTACTCCACTAGAGATCTTAAAGTGGGTGCTAATAGTGGTACATGGCCCCCGTTTAATAATGATAGAACCCCGAAGAGTGAGCACACTTACAGTATTTTATTGCCACCACCTGCTACAAACCAATATTCAGGGTGTGACAAGAAAATGATGAGGCAGACAATGCTCATGCAGGAAGCCACATTTAGGGATCAGGTATTTTCTTTCTCAACTTCCGGTACCGGGGCAATGAAATTTACTTGTCAAGTCTCTTTGACTTGGGCACCTTAGCCGTTTTCATGATTTCATCAATGGAACCCTCCCATTCCGTTTTTCATTTCATTAGTGGCATAATTTTTTTTTTTTTCTTGATGTATGTATATTTTTTCCGTTCTTTAAAATGCCTGAAGTGGTCCTAAACATTATATAGGATAGGCTTTCTTCAAATGATGCCAGAAACAAAATGGCTTCATTAAAGAATACCTTGTTGTAAGAAACAATTGAATGTTTTAATTTCAGTTGGATTTCAAAATGCTTCCCTAGTTTTTCCTCAGCATATGAATATGACTTTTCAAGTTCTTTCTGCCGATTCTGATAAATTGTTTTGATGCTTGGGTTGATGTTTTTGAGTATCAAATCAATTTTGTATTCTAGAAATTTATTAATTTAGAGTGCATTTAACAACTCTAAGAGAATAATGACTTCTGGTAGCAAATAAAAATTAAGAGTGCATTTGTTAGAAGCAGTTCCAGAAAATTTAGGTGCATCTGTTTTTTAAGTAAGTGGGATCAAAGAAGAAGAGGAACGCCTGTACAGATCACCGTATTGAATCTTATTTAGAAAACATTCTTCATCTGAACACACCCTTTTGGCATGTTTCTGGCATTTAGGAATGATCATTAAGGAGGCCAGCCAAACTGAACTTGATTTTGTGAAGTATCATTACAACTCTTAAAACACTTGATACTTTTGATATTTGATATTTGATATATGTTTTACCCATCCAGGTCCAAGAACTCCACCGCCTTTATAGAAGACAAAGGAAATTGATGGATCAACTTGCAGGGAGAGAAATATCTGAACATCAATTGCATTTACAGACTTTTCAGTCAAATCCTTTAATGTCTCAAAATTCATTTGAGTATCCCGATAAGACATGGCAAATTCCAAGTATGCCCTGGATAAATCCTGCTGGCAGTAGACCATCCGTTTCAAATGCTGAAAACTTGAAAGCATCATCAAATTTATTGAACAGAGCAGGTCTTGGGCCTGCACAAACTGAGAAAAGTTTGAAAGACTGCAACTTGTTGGAATATAAATGCAAGAACACTAAAAGAAGAATATTGGATCTTGAACTTCCAGCTGATGAGTACATCAATAGTGAAGAACGGGAGGGTTTCAGAGAAGAAAAGGTTTCTGTATTTCCTGAGGGGTCATTTAACCCTCCAAAGGGAATGTTAGAGGTCTTTCCGAAGAGTGATTTAAAACTGTTTCCTTGCGAAGGTCAGTTCAACTCTGTTTACCAAGGAGGTTCTTCCACTCATGCTTTTTCTAGGGGAACCGATGATTCATCTGGTGTGAATGGACCCATTTGGCTCAAGGATGCAGCAACTCCAAGTTCTGTTAATTTTCTAGGCTCTGACACCTACCACAGGAAGATCCCGTGCTGGGATCTGGATCCATCTGCAAAGTTAACCTCAGGCTTCCAAATTCTTTCGAAGGAAGTTGCCCACAATATTGAGACAGGAAGGAATACTGAAGTTTCAAAGGTTATTAATCTAGACATTGACAGGCAATGGCAGCTGCTACCTCACAATGAGGAAGCTGGTAAGTTTTGTGTTAAATAAGTTCAACAAACTTTAATAAAATCTTATTTTTTTAATTGTGATCTTCTTCTTATCTTATAAGTAGATTTATTGCTCAACCTTTAAAGATATTCATGTTCAATTATATTGTAGTAATTATTTATCTTTTCATATGTCTACAAACATCATTTTCAGGGCAAAGCAGAATGAACATGAATTCTCTCCCTCAAATTTCCACCCCTGGAAAATTACCCATGCCATCTAAATCATTACAAGCTGAACTTCGAACTGAAATTGGAATGGTCAATCAATTGAATAAGTGTGATGGAAATTTGTGGAGTGGAAGAACAAATTTTAGCTTAGAAACCTGTATAAGGAATGATGTCATCAACGACAATTATCCGGGACTGGTTGATTCTTTCACATCCAGCACATGTCAACTTGTTTCTCAGTCTAGTGTGGCCAAATATGAGCCAGCTTCATTATCCCCTCAGAGAAAGCCAATACATAGCTTTAGGCAGAACCCTATAGCAGTTCAAGCGCTTCCTTGCTTTAATGTCCCCATGCAATTGAATAAGAGTTCTAAATCATCTTTGGGGTGTTCTGGGCTTAAAGGAAACAACTTTCATGTGAGCAGAAACTCAAGATGTAGTAGCCCAAGTGGGGGGAGTGTTAGCCATCTTGGGAACAGCTTTAATCACCTGAACTGCAGTAGTGCAAATGGTTCTGCTTCTAAACTCAATAACCTTACAAAGTATGCTCGGGATTCAGATTGTAAGGATGAAAATTCTGCAAAGGGTGTGGACTTGAATTTAATGCCTCCTAGCTGTTTGTTAGAAATTCCAGGTTCTCAACCAAAATTTGGTACTGCAACTGGTGTAAAGAAGTTTGAGGAATTGGTTGGGGATTTGCCTTGGCTTAGAGAAAAACCAGATTACAATGTGAAAACCAGTAAGGAAATTGAAGATTTCACCCGGATAGATTCAGTTGAGCCAAAAAGTTTTCAGACAACTGACTGCTTGAGTAATGAAAAGAGTTTTGGATCTTCCAACTTTGATAAGCCTCATGTTTGCCAGTTTTCTGCTCTTACTTCTCCGTACAGGTCTCATCCTAGTCCATCTGAAGACAAGGACATTGGGAAAAGTGAAAATTTTGGGGAACTCGATATTAACTTGCTTCACAATCCTGCATCCAACTCAGGAGAACGGTGCACTGTGGATGATCTGGTAGAGGTTCCAGCTGATAAAATGACTTTGGGGGTTGGAAATCACATCGACTTGAACTCCTGCATAAATGAAGATGATTTGTCAGCAAAGCATACTGTTCCTACGGTTGTGATGAAAGCATTAGAAGAAATAGATTTGGAAGCACCCGTGAGTCCAGAAAACAAGGAATCTTCCCCACCTAGAGGAAAATTGGAGAAAAACCAACTTGAAACACACCTCCAGCTCTTAAAACAGGATCATGAGGACCCACAGGAGGAACTTATTAGGATGGCAGCAGAGGTTATAGTTGAGTTTTCATCATTTGGGTTACAGAAATCCTTGGAAGACGCTGCTTGTGAGCCTTTGGTAGCTTGTCCCGGTGATTCCCTCCAGTGGTTTGCCGGGGTAGTCTCTTCTGCAGCTGGTAATGTAGAGAATGAGATGGGAGTAGTTTTGAGTGGTGATCACAAGGAGCTTTCATCCGGGAGTGATTCCTTTGAGCGCATGACGATGAAGCTGACAGAGACAGAAGTGGAAGAGAATTGTTGTGGGAAGAATGGGCAAAAAGAGGAGGAAACTGGTGAAATTTTATCACCAAGTCAGCCAAAGAGGGGCCGGTCAAGGAAGGGGAGGCTGCACCAGGACTTTCAAACAGACGTTCTACCATCTCTCGCCTCTTTATCGAGGCATGAGGTGAAGAAGGATCTTCAAACAATTGGAGGGCTGATGGAAGCTGCGGCTACTCTTCTGGTGACTGGTTCAGGAAGAAGAAATGGAGGAAGAAATGGGTGCACAAAAGCAAGGAGGCGGTCAAGTGTTTCCCCTTCCAATGTGATAGGGAGCACATCGCCCTCACTTTTGAAGCAACAAAGCAATGACTGCACTGTTCTCACATTTGGGGCAAGAAGTCTAACAGGATGGGGGAAGAAAAATAGACGGCAGCGGGGTCAGAGATTTCCAGCTAGGAATCCTGCCGTCATATTTTGCTGAGCTGAGTGCTAAGGGAGAGATTTTGGTTTCACTTAGGAAGAAGGTAAGAAGGGGGTTCTGCAGGTTTGAGTTTATTAAGAAGGTAAGAAAGGGGGCTTCTACACTTTTGAGTTTATTAATGGACAATTTGATTGTACATGTCTTCATAGCCCAAAAATATTTTGGGGCTGTCTGATTATATTGTATAAGCATGCATGGGTGCATGTGTAGTTAAGAAAAGGAAAAGTAGGCAAACCCAGTGCATGAGTAATTACCATATATCTTAAACTGTGAGAGCGAAGTTATTTACCAATGGAGGATCTGTTATATATATATATATATATATATACTCGCTTACACGCACTATTATTGAGTTATTAGAACTATTTGAGGAAAGCAGAGTTAAAATTGGTGAAGCACAGCGAGGGCTACTTGACCTTCTGTAGTTGTATAGATTTCTATATAGTATCTGTTTGGCTGTGACCAATTGTGCATTAGATCTGGAAATGTGAAAAAAGCTACTGTGAAATTTTAATCGCCAAGTGTGAATTTCATGCTGTCAAAGGCTCAATAGTTCTCCCATGGCTCATCCAACGGGTGAAATTGCAGGGTTCCGAAGTATTCCTCTTTCTCTAAACAACATCAAACAGGCTCTCGAGTACTATCAGTAACACAATATTCTAAAACCATGGAAATCATTTTCTGCAAGAAAGAGTGAAACTCAGCTCTTCAAGAGCGGGGAGACTTGGACTAAGAATCTACTAACAGGGATCTATTTACTACTACTTTTTAGTTCACTTGAGAGGTTGTATATATCGCCATGAAAATGAGTGAAATAAGAGTCGCGCATGTTACAAGCTTTCTTTCTATGACTTGTGAATTTAGTTTTTCAGGAGTAATTTGGGAAAACTTTTCAAACACATGCAATGTATCCATAAATATGCAAAAACTTGAGGTCAATTGTCCCTATTCGGTGACCCAGCATAAAGCTCTTCTGTGTGTGTTAATGTCCTATGTAGCATCCATTTTTCATTTATAGATAAGCAACTCCTGCATGACATATCGCACCAATGATACAGAGCCATATAATTTTAGAAAATTATTCAGGAGAAATTCTATATTTTGATATTAGAGATGTTTGTTTTTAGTAGTTTTAAAGTCCTGGCAGAAGTATATACGAGATATTAGAGGAAATTAATTAATTTTGCTTATCATTATTTGAACATAATGTTTGAATTTGCAAATGTTCAGAATTGATTGTTTGAAATTAAATTATTGGGCCTTAAACTTATTTAATGATATTTCTCTTCACAATATAGATAGAGATACCTTTGTGATTTAAAACTACTCATGTGCACGGAATAAATTCTTTTCTCGGCATGAATGAAAAAACATAGAAGGCAATACATTAACATAACTTTTGGACCTATAAAAGTCTGTAAAATTCAAGAAGTATATAAGAACTTGAAGCAGCTTATTTCTAACTTTGTATCCAGAAGAATAATGAACTAGCTTGTATCCATTTTTTTCAAAATTTTTTTAAAGATTTTTGGATTCAAAGTCGTGCCTAGTGATGGAATCAACACAACACATGATGGAGATAATTTTTACTGGAAATAATTTTGTTGGGTGTGACAAACAGATGATTAGGTGTTATTTCTTTTTTTTTTTTTTTTTTTTTTTTGTTAGGATAAAGTTGTAGAAAACACTAAGATATACTTTCACTCTTAATTTTTAAAAGTATGCTATTAATCCTCCTACTTTAAAAAAATTGTGCTAAAACATCTCTTAATTTACTTTTTGTAGAATTTCGACATAAAGTAATCATGTAATGTCCCTTATGTCATTTTAATCTTTCAAAATTGACTAAGGAGAGTGTATGCTAATAATCTCATAACAAATGAGTGTTATGTGCACATTAACAATATTTAACTAACTTTTAATAATTTTCTCTCATATTTAAAAAAATAAAAAAAAAAAAGAAAATTATCTCTATATATTTCTACTAATAGTGTATTATCTCTGTTTAAGTTGATTGTTTTACATTTTCTAGTACTTAATGCCACTCATAAATTATAAAGTTTTAATATATATATATATATATATATTTATTTATTTTACTGGTCAATTGAAGATTAAAAAATATCTCAAAAAATATATTTGTTCTCATAGTTGTCAAATTAATGTACATCAAATATTATGGAATGAAAACCTTAGTTCTTCCTATAATTATATACAAAAATAAATAAATAAATAAAATAAAATAAAATTCCCTATTAAAATTTAATATAGTTATCATTTTTCATGAAATATATAATTAAAATTTTAATTTAAAGATACTTATTCATTATATATATATGTAATATACATTCAATTTTGTCAAATATATATATATATATATATATATATATATAACAACAAATGGGTGTTCAAACTTTACTGGAGAAAAAAACTTAACACTGCTCTCTACTCCTTAAATTTTAGCTCGCGCACACACACACACACACATATATATAATTTATTACATAGCAAAAAAAGGATGTTCAATTTTTTATTGAAAAAAAAAAATTAAAAAACAAAACAAATGGATGTTCAATCACTCCAACTTTAGGAGTATTTTTTGCACTTTATGGGTGGTGGGTGTTCTTTTTCATCATTTTACAAAATGACTTTTTAAAATAATAATAATAATAATAATGTATAAATTATCTCCAAAAGATATATAGTTGTAAATTAAAGTATGTATAATTACATATTTGACTTTTCATCATCACAATTAATGATATATAGATCGATATATAATATTATATGGTGCTAGCTATGGCTCATAGTATATAAAACTATTAATTTTCTTGTTGATTGAAAAAATCAAATGCTTATATTAATTACCAATTTGGTAAGTTACTTGCACACTATGTAATTTTTCTTATAATAAAATGTTTACAACAATGTAAATTTTTTAAAAATAATTATGTAATTGAATTATTTTTCATTGTGTATAATATATATGCAAAGAATACGCACAAATTTTTTTTAAAAAATGTATTTTTTGTCAAATACGTGTATTGTACAATTCTCTAAAAATATGAATAGTATTCGTTTAATTTAAAACTTGTACAAAATATAATTTTTTAATTATATATACGTGCATTTATTATATGCCGATAATACTTTTTTTTTAGTTCTATCATTCATTTTTCAATTGATTATATTCTCTTTTTTATATAATTTTTTAAATGAAAAAAATACTATTTGTGATATATTTGTGAACTTGCATCTTGAAACGTTTAGATGATGTATTGGTTTAGTATAATGGTTGTTGCTATTTGCATTTCTATAATATTAGATTTGGGTTCGAGCACAATGAAAACGTGGAAGAACCAAAGGTTTCAAGATGCAAGTTCACAAATAAATTAATTAAAACCAGAGGTGTTTAAAAAATAATAATAAAATAAAATCAGACCTTTTAATAAGGCACGTATGGTGGTCACATAAGGGACACTTAAAAGTGTTAGTCTTATTTGCAAATTTTCAATGGTATGCAGTAAATTATTTTGCCACAAGAGTAATGTGCAATTTTTTTATATTTCTATTCCCCCTCGTTCTCTCACACAATTTTTTAAACCCCTCTCTCAATTATCTTCTTCTATTTTGCATCTACTATCTCTTCTCTTTATGAGATTTTAATATTGTTCTGTAAGTAATAATGAAAAATCTTGTAAATAAAAGAATGATTGAGTTATAAAATGTAATTGATCTTGGTAATATGAAAAACATCAAAAAAAATAAAAATAAAATAAAATAAAGAATCATTCAATTCCTTCTATTCTACTTGTACGTGATGGTAATTTTTACCTTTCTTATGGACATGCTTTGGGGTGGTTTATTTTTTTTATTTTTTATTTTTTAATTAAAAAAATTAATTTAGTAGTGTCTTGAATCTTGAACTTCACCTTATTATTGATGCCTAAGCCCTCTTACAGTTAGTTATTTGCATTTAAGCCTTGCATATTAGATGTTATCCAAAGACATATTTTAACCCAAACCCAAAACAACCCATTGCTGCTATAGAATTTATACATTTAAGTGAAAGAGGGCCAACTAGTTTACGATATTTCCGTTAATAAACCTCCACAAGCTACTCAACACAACTTATACTTGAAAAAAACATGACTAAAAAAAAATTGTAAAAGGGTAGTTAAGGTATTATAAAATAAAGAATGATACATTAATGAATTTATGTACTTTTTGTCATTTTTTATAATAATAAAAAAAATGGTAAAATGCGACGAAAAGTAGAGTATCAATATCCCATTCTTTTTTTAAATTACAATATTAAAAGGACTGTATCTCCTAAAGTTTTATTCTAAATTTATAATAGTAAATTTTACTCAAATTTAAATAATTGAACGCAATGTTTTAATTGGGTGCAGTATAAAATTGTAGACATATTCAAGAACTTACTTTTTTTTATCCTGTATTCAAAAGATAAAAAAAAAAAAAAAAAAAAAAAATCTTGTATCCAATTCCAACCATATATGGAATGTAAGCATATCCCACATGAATAAATGACGTAGAATTATTAAGTTTTATAGTACGTATCTTTTTTATTAGTAGAGAAATAAATTGTGACATTGACAAGTGAAGAAATTTCGTGTGACTTTGCTATGGATGTTTGATTTGGAATTTTTATTCAATCCAAATATATACATATTGCGGTCGTTGATAGTTAAAATGAGACAATAAAGTTGAATTTTTTTTTTCAACTAGTCAATCCTTCAGTTGTCATATCTTATATATATATATATGATAAATCATACATATTTTATTTATATAAGAGCAAGTTTTGCATGACAAAATCATAGTATAAGCGGTGCAATCAATTATGTATGGGACTGCAACAATCAAGCAATCAATTATGTATGAGACTGCAACAATCATATAGAGCAGGATATTAGAGGTGTTTATTATAATTGGTTGGTTTTTCTTTTTTCTTTTTTTTTCCTTTTTTTTTTTTTTTTTTTTCTAACAGTGAGATATTAGAGAAAATTAAAAATGTTAGTATAAATTGTTTCTATATATCACCTGGTATTTCATATTAATAACAAAAAAATTATTGTATTGCAGATCATCGTTCTTATGCTCATCTAACAAAGATACAAATATATAAAATTATTTATACATCCACCTCATGTATAACTTCGTGATTGATGTTTCAACTCATGGTTATGGTGGTAACTAATTGGTTATGGTAGTCGCTAAAATGTTTATAAAAAATATATAAATGAATGTTGCAGATGTTTCAATTACTTTTCCCTTCATTTTTTAATTTTATTTTATATATTATGTTTAATTGAAAGTATTATATTTGGTATGCATGATGGATGCTTTATCACGCATGAGCGTGGTTCCAATTGTGTTTCAACCCTAAGTAACCCTTAACACAGACCTTTAGGCTTCAGCATAGTGTCTATTAGGATTACAAATGACCTAGTCA